AAAGAGTTTGCTCAGAACGCAGGAAATCGCATTTCCGAGGTTCTAGATTTCAAAATTTCCCGGGGGAGGATACCCCCGGACCCCCCGACAAATGCGAGTTCTTATGTATGCATCAGTCAGTTCAGGAGCTGGATCCGCCCCTGCTTATAATGCCAATGGCATTTGAAAGAGCTGAAGAGACAAAACATCATAGGAATACATGCACGGCAGCTAGTACAAAGAAGAGAAATCCTGTTGGAAACTTGGACAACAAAAATTTTGATAAGGATATAATGAGAGAAGTGGAAAATTATGCAGAAAACATGGTTGTAGATTGGTCAGATCTGGCTAGAAAACACAATATCAGGAACACTCAGAGCGAAGTGGCAAAGAATAGTGGTCAAATTGCTAAAGAATTTATGAAATCTGTAGGGGTTGATGTCAATAGCTTCAAGTGTAAACATGTTGAGAACGATGAAAGAGTCCGAAGGAAAAAACTCACGGGACAAGGAGGAGAAATCACTGTTGCAGTACCACAAACTATCGAGAGTGTGAAGGCTGAGATGAAAAAAATCTTATCTGGTGAATATATCGTTGGATACCAAATAGTACCACGAAAGGTTTGTGTAATAATACTTCACATTTCTAGTGCAATAGTTGCAATTCTTAACTCGAATTAAGGGCTTAACTCGAATTAAGGGCTTAACTCGAATTAAGGGCTTAACTCGAATTAATGGGCTTAGCTCGAATTAAGGGCTTAACTCGAGGGGCTTAACTCGACGATTTGCTACCCCTACTTCCCTACTTATACAGTATACAGTATACAGTATGTCTATAACTCAATAGTGTACTAATCAGTGTGGTGCAACAATCTGTTACAGTAAGTCGGTAATTTAAAGTAGGCCAAAGTAAACAGAAATTGTCCCTGCCATAGTGCATAATTACATAGGTGTAAAGGCACTTTGCAACAAGATACAATAATTATAAATGCAGATTCTGTAGTTTTGCCGCACCAGTTATGATATATATTGTAAATTAGGCAAAATAAAAATTAAATTTACTGATTTCCCAATTTTAGTATGTAAAGATGGTACTTAGTGATTTTGGAGAGGTGGTGAAAACGGAGTTTGTGGTGGATGGACGAAAACAGCCCTCGCTTGAAACAAGAGAAATAATGTTGTCAAATCAAGAAAAATATATGAGGCAGAGGACTGATGCTGAGCATGAAAAGACGAAAAATGATAGTCTGACAACCTTGTTGACAACTGTTGATGAATATGTAGCAGGAGAAAATGAGGACAAAATGCGAGGTAGGCAGAAAGGTTTGCCGTGTACTGGAGCTGGTACAATCTTAAGACTGCATGAAGGTGTACTAATTCAAACAAACCAGTATTTGGAAAGAAATTCGACACAAAAGTTAAATTAATTAATGGACCTTTATTACCGTTGTATATAGAAAGAACAAGGCACCTAAAGATGTGGCATGACCTTTCAACAATTGCTAATCATGGTCACTTGGTTTTTATGGTGTCATGTCTTTATGATCCTGCAGTACACTACACCAATGAAGAGTATCGAAACATCACTGGAAGTGAAAATGTAGATATCCAAATGAAAGTTCAGACACCTGAGGTCTACATCGTTGTAAGGTCAGGAAGCTCAGATTTTGCACAGCTTGCTTACATTGACACACGACTTCAGTGCCTGCAGGACATGAGTTTTAAACTGAAAACAAATTCAGCAAATGATCTTACTGATGCAATGCGGTTATTACACGACGATAGCCCAGCTCGTCATCTTGAATCTGGTCAACAAAAAGGAGGTAACTTTTATTGCTCTGGATGTGGTGCAAATGCACAGCAGGCATATCACCTGGATATTGTTTTTTTCCATTACTTGTCTTTGTTTGACCGACAACAATTGGTGCTCGCTGGATAGCCTTGGAAGAAAAAGAAGTATGACAAAAGCTCACAAGCCATTCCAGAACTTGAACAAACAGGAACTTGTTCAAGATCTCGAGGAATCTATGATGGGGAAAAAGAATGAACTTCAGAAGCTATTGACAGAAGAACAGGTACCAGGCCTTCTTTTCACAATCCCAACATCTAGTCTCCAACACATTAACTGTGAAAATTATGAAGTATTTAGCTTTGAACCACTTCATGACATTGGAAAATACATTGAAAATGTTCTTACTGAATTTCCATCTTACTGTACATGCCTGAAAAAGAAGCTACTGCTGTGAAGAAGGTCATCCGTTACTCAACTGGTGGAATGGAAACTAAACAGACATTTGATTACCAATGTGTACTTATTATCCTTGCAAAAAGCAATCTTCAAAGATTATTTCTTCATTACTAGTTCATAACTTTTGACACATTAGTGGAAATTCAGAGAATTGCCTACAGTGCTAAAGCTGAAAAAAACCCAAAGTCTGTTCTTCGTCTACACGACAGGACATGGTACCATGGCATCATCTTATCACCCAAGCCATGTCAATGGAAACATCTTCATCACACTGCAAGCTGAGAAACAGATGCAAGCTTTTCAAGGCTCTAGTCTCACGAAACAAAAAACATCTTTTTTTAAGGTTGCAGCATTTCTACGGTTCTACCTTCATATGGAAATACCATAATTCCACAACAGGTAACAGAAAAGCACATTAGATCATGGCAAGCTCACCTTGAAAGAATTAGTGATTTTCTCTTGCATGCTAATTTAAATGAAACTATAAGACTGCAGTTCCAAAATTTATCAACTATAACATTTTCTATGTTTCACTTCAGTAATAAATGTTTCGCCAAACGCTTTACCTGTAATAGCTGTTTTTGATAACTTTTATATCCGTAGCTTTTTCTGGTAAACCCACTCCTTGGAATACAACTAAAGATGCTCAATTGATTCTATATTAATTTTGAGAATAATTTTTTTCTCTACACAAATAGACTAAGACATGTAGTAAACCTTGTCAAGCGTAGTACACTATCAACTAGAGGTGTGCAAATCCGATCCGAATCGGATCCGTATGTTTATTAACGCATGTGCAATTCTCTACTTAGCAGCATTCTTCTGTAATATATTAGGGCCAAATTTGACAAATATATGGTCTAAATGTGATCAGACAATGACCAAATCTGATCATCATTGATATTAATAAATGTTGTATCATAGACAGCTTAAATATTCTCGAATAACACAAGGAATACAAGCTAGTGAAATATAAAAATACCAAATAATTTTCCGCAAAAGTGATGAGAAATCCAATGCTCTTTTATATATACAGTTCTTTGTGATCTTTCCAATTGTACAGCCATCATACTGTACAGGTGTATCTCAGTAGTAAAAGTGAACTTAAAATTTCAGCTATTCTCACTGGGAGTTATAAAAGTAGCACAGAATCGGTTTATTTTGAGCATTTGCGGATTTGCCACCGAAAAGGAAGGACGGCGCTGAAATTTTTTGGGACCCACCCATCCACCTTCCCTCGGCTGCGACACTTCCGAACCTAGCTTCGCCGCAGTCTACCTTTGGCTGAAAATTATTTATCCCCAATCTAAATTCCCTCAGTAAAAGGTATTGTGCGGGGAAAGCGAGCAGTGAGAATATATTATATTTTGATATGCAGGGAGTTTTCACCTTCACCCGGAAACAGTCAGTGTCGGATTAACCATATGGCAGAAAAGCGGCATATGCCACGGGACCCATGCTTTTGGGGGCCCCGCGCTTACTCCTTTCTATTTTTTTCCAAATTTTTTGTTCCCTGTTTCAGCGCGGGGCCCAAACAGTGCGCCAGTGCGGGGCCCCAAATAGCCCAAGTCTCCCAGAAAACGCGAGGCCCCAAAAAAGCACGCGGGGCCCCAAACGGTTTTTTTTTGTTCCCTGTTTCAGTGCAGGGCCCCGAAGAGCCCAAGGTCCCCAGAAAACGTTAGGCCCAAAATTTAAAAATTGAGGCCCAAAGTATTTTTTGTTCCTGTTTAAGAGCGCACGCGCGGGATCCAAACAGCACGGGGCCCCAAAGAGTCCATGGCCCCCAAAAGCGAAACCCGAAAATAAAAAAAAACAAAGTTTAAAAAGCGAGGCTCAAAAA